AGGAAAGCAGGGGACAAAATTTATTATTTTCAAAAGGTTCCTCCAGGCTAGATGGTGGCACAGACACACCCAGATGGGAGAGGTTGTGGGTTCATGTCCTGGGACCTCCCTGAGTATGCAGGGGTCAAGCATGCCATGATCCTGGATGGGAACTGGGTGGATCACAGAATGAGGAGCCTGTTGGAGGGGTTCTCTCTCTCTTTATCTCTCTCTCTCTCTAGTGCATGGAAAAAGTAAATGAATAATCTTTTTAAAAAAGTTTCTCCAGTTAAGAAGTGTGTGAATCTCGTTTCAAAGAGAGACATATCTGATGACTTTTTTTATCTGCCTGGAGTACCTCTTCTCTACCTACAACCTATCAGAGCAAGGGTGAGAGAACTCCCCCCCCACCCCCCCGGCCGAGCCCAGAGGCCACAGAGAACAAATGAACTGACAGGAATAGATAAACGCACGTTCTTTTTCAGCAGGGAAACTCAGCATCCGCCATTCTTACAAGTTGTTTTTGATTTGTTTATTTAATTTGCTAGAGGGTGCACATGCTCTCTGGAGAGACAGAGAGAAACAAGAGGAGGGAACGTGAGAATGCACTCCCATGGGGCATGATCATGCTGCCACCCTCTTCCCCGCCTTCTCTCCCTCCTTTCGGATTTTGGGTATGTACACATACATGCCTGGGATCAAGTGGCCGCGTTGCACTCAAACTGCATAGTCAGCCAGGTGGGACCCAGCAGCTTAACACGCCACCTGCTGACTCACTAGTTCTTCTTCATTACCCTTAATAAGCCAGGTCAGAGAAACAGGAGTCTCCCCCCTCCCCCCCCCATAAACAAGTTGAACAGAGAGGAGGCACAGAGAGTAGGGTGAGGGGTTCAGCATGCGCTTCGAGGAGGACACCGCCTCCTGTTCACTCTCTGAGAACTGTGAAACAGTCCTGCTGCCTCTAGAGCATTTGAGAATATCCTTGGCCCCGACTTTGCCATTCAGAAGGATCTCTGTATAGGTGCAAAGGTGCCAGAAACGTTCCCTTTACTTCTTGAGTTTATTTCAAGAGAGAGAAATAAAGTTCAAGAGAGAGAAATAAAGGTAAAGAGAGAGAGACTGATCCCCCTGACAGGATCTTGCCATGCCACCACCCCCAGTCCCTAGCCTCCCAGCCAGCCAGGATCCCAGGCACATGAGCGAGCACACCCCACGTGGTCACTGCAACTCAGGATCCACACTCGGACCTCCTGGAGACAGCACTGCACAGCAACGCCCCACCGCCTCTGCCAATGCGGCTGAGACAGGGAAGCTTCCTCGTCTAATCTTCACTGTCTACCCCTGTCCTGGGGCTCAGTGAATATCATGGTGCTTAGGGCAATTACATGGTGAGTGTGCGGCGGGGGACCATGTGACAAAAAGCTCAGGAAGCCATAACAGGCTTGGGCTTCCTACCGTCAAGTCAGGGGGCAGAGCTGAGGCAGAGTTATCCACTGCATCCCAAAGACACCGGAGACGACCCATCGGCCTGTGTGGCTGGAGAGTGGACGCATGTTTGGGTACCCCAGGACTTCCAGAGGCCCCCCGCCCCTCCACATCAAATCCATACACAGCATTTTACATCAGCTCTATCCTCATTCCATGTCTTCACTTCCTCTATCTCCCCTATATTTTTAATTTGAGCATCAAATCTGATTCAATAAAGCATTATGGAAATTGTTGTAACACTTTCAGAGAGGAATACACAGTTTAAATTACACACTTTAACTCATTAGCTGGATTGAACTAGAGACGAAATGATTAGGTTCGTGATTAATTCTGTTTCTGAATGATTACACCGTTTAACTGACAAAGAGCTTGTCCTTTGTTATCACAACTCGGGAACCATTACTAAATGGAGGCAATCTGGTTTTCACGTACAGTGTGTCATCTATCAAAGGCAGAATTAATCAGGACTCTAATCAGTCGGCATTAATCAAACAGCGTTTGACAGGATTCATTGGGAAGATCCGGTGTGCTCGACTGTACAACCTGGATCTTGTGACAGTGCTAACAAAAATCTGTTTTTCATGTCAGTATCCATCTTTAAAAAATAACAGTAACTTCTAATTTCTTTTTCTTTTTTTTTTTTTTTTTTTGCTAACATAAACTGGATTAACGAAGCTCAACATCATTTGAGAGAGCTCTGTAAAAACAAAGTTATGTTTGATAAATCTTGGAGGGTTCGGAACATGAAGTCGTTAGAAAGAGAAAACTGAGGGGGGACCAGCAGTTAGCATAATGGCTATGTCGCTGGACTCCCATGTAGTCGACCCCGGTTCGTGTCCCGGACCCAGTGGCTTAAAACTCACGCCCGGTGCGTGTAAGTGTGTGCCCAAGATCCCAGGAGGAGAACGGAGGAGAAAGGATTGCGGTGTGGCCATTCCCCCGGGGGGTGATTTCTCACTTTCTGTCTCTCTGTCTCTCTCTGTCTGTCTGGCGAGCGCACGTGCCCTAAGGCAAAAACCTCTCCGAAAGAAAGAAAGAAAGAAAGGAAGGAAGAAAGAAAACTGTGGGAAGCTTCCTCTTACTTTGGCTAAGACCGCTCACCGGGCAGTAAAGATGAGCGCACTATGCACGCGCACGCACACACACACACACCCATCCTGGTACTGACGACTAGAGGCAAGGATGAGTCAGCCTTGGATGGTTGGATACATCCATCAAAGATGGGTCATGAGGCCAGCAGGTGGTTAAGGCACTGGACCCCACAGGCCAACTCTGCAGTCCAGGTCCTGGACCTGGCGACATGAAAAACATGTAGGGCCTGTGTGTGTGCGTGCCCAAAGTCCTAAGAGGAGAATAGAGGAAAAGTGATTGCAGCATGGCCATCCCCTTGGGGGTGACGTCTCACTATCGCTCTCTCTCTCTCTCCCCAGAGAGCTCATGTATTCTATGGCAAAACAATCTTAAAAAAATAAGTAAGATAGATCACAGGTTATCCACACACAGTAGGCACACAATCCAAAGAATCTCTGTCTGCTTTTTCCATTTCACCACGATCCAACAGAAACAGAAAACAAAACAAATGAGTTCTTTCCCTTGTAGTCCAAGGCCAAGGTAAAAGTGTCTGAAAGTCATAGAATGACTCAGTAAATGTCCTTTCACGACAGTGGTAGCCTGACCCCAATAAAACGAGTAAGCGATTAAAGGGAAACAGGCAGGCCGGTGCGCGT